CTACATCAGATGTATGCAACTTTTAGAATAACAATGCTTAACAATAAGAAAAAGAATGATATTTACAGGCAAAAATATTTTATATTTTCATGATAATAATGCTTTTTAACATCCAGATCATAGGAAATTATTCAGTATATCTGCTAAAACAGCAGCCCAATCTACTGCTTGAAATGATGCATTCATATTTGTTGATCAATTGCAAGTGGCCGCTACAATATCTCTTTAAAAGGTGAGATTTTATGTGATTTGTTCAATCAATCATTAAGATAGAGAATATGAAATGCCGTCATTATTAGGATATACAGATATTTCTTTTTGAAAGTTCTGTGACTTAAAGTGCTTGAATCGTACCTTATTCGTTGTTTCTCACAATATACAAGAACACATATATACATGACTTTAAAATCAAACAGATATGCATACATGTTATTTAAGAAATTAAAAAGATGAGTTGTTTGCAATCTTTCAAAAATTTTGAGATGCTGCAAATACAAATAATACGAATGATTTGTATGTGTGAAAGCAAGCACATACGATGCATTTTGACCAGATTGTTTTTGACGCACACAAATATTGATACATACCCTGCATTCCTTTAGGTCCTTTGGGTCCTCTAGGTCCTGGTGGTCCTTTATCTTCTAGAAAACAGATTGCCATCAATTTAATACTACGAAAGACATTGATTTTTTATTGATATGATGAAGACATAATCGTACAATCATTTTGATTGAGGTCAGGACCTAGCACGACAGTAACTGCTAGTAGTCTTTTTTAATGTTTGTTTACTTTTGTCTTACAAAAGACTCTAATTTCCGTAAAACTGTGTTTGACTGTGCGTTATTGTGTGTGTTTGTTTTTTGCAAGATTTCTCATTTCTTTAAAGGCCCACTGGTGGCCTTGCGCTGTTTTTGCACTTTGGTCGGGATGTTGTTTCTTTCACATATTCGCCGTTTTCATTTTCTATTCCATCGATATGTTAACTCGACAGCTGATTTGCAAACTTAACATGATGAAAATCCTTCGCAGTGACATCTCCCGTCTTACACAGCTGGTTTGGATCAGTGACGACTGGAAATTTTACTAGAGGGTGTCTTGTATGCCCAAAGTCGAAATGGGGCCGTACGTTTAAAATACAAAACAATATATAGAATAAGCTAAACTGTCTTATGCTCTATTGAAATAAAACATTGAGATTTTTGCAAAAGGTTAAGTATAATCATGGAAATTGGAACCCAAAATTTAAGTTCCTTTATTTTTGAAAAATACTTAAATTTATTTGAATAAAAATTTCTTTCATCTGATGTTTGCAACTTTTGAAATAGCAATGCTTAACCTAAGAAAAAGAATGACTTTCATAGTCGAACATATTTTTATTCTTCAACAATGTATAACTACGCACAAGGAACAAAGTTGAAAACTATAGTGTAAACTTCATGTTATTGAGATCTAAATTTCAATATATGACTTTCAAATAAGCATGCATACGATTCAATTTCTGTCAGGTGTTGATATAACTGTGAAATGGAACATACAAAAATTCAGTAGGAGTTCCAAGATTTTTTTTTTATTCTTATATTTTTTAGCTTATTTTCCTTTTTTATTTGAAAATTGTTTTTCATGATAAAAATGTTTTTTTACGTTCAGATCCTAGCACATTATCCATTACATCCACTAGAACAGCAGCGCAAACTACTGCTTGAAATGATTCATTCATATCTGTCAAATGATTGCAAGTTGCTGCTATAATATCTCTTTAAAAGGTGAGATTTAAATGATTGTCAATCTCACATTTAGGTAGAGAATATGGAATGTCATCATGATTATGATATCAAAATATTACTTTTTGAAAGTTCCATGACTTAAAATGATTTAATCGTACCTTACTCTTTGCATCTCACAATATACAGGAACAAATACATACATGACTTTTTAAATTGAACAGAAATTCAAAATGTTATTTTAGAAATTAAAAAGATGAGTTGTTTGCAATCTTTCAAACATTTTTTTTTAAATGCCACGAATACAAAAAATGAGAATTATGTGTATGGGTTTTAACAAACACATACGATGCATTTTTACCAGATTGTTTTTGACATACCCGGATGTTGATTAATACCTTTCATTCCTGGTGGTCCTTTAGGTCCTTGTGGTTCTTGTTTCCTTAGTTCTACTTCTTCTGGAAAACAGATTACCATTAATATGATACTACGAAATACATTGATTGTTTGGTGATCTGATGAAGACATTATCGTTCGATCAGTTTAATGGAGGTCGGAAGCTACCACGACAGTAACTATTAGTAGTCCGTTCTTAGTTTATGTTGATCATTGTCATTTTATTAAGCTTCTTTTGTTTCCCATTCTTACGCTGATTTCGTTAAAAATGTGCGTATTGCTATGTGTTTGTTTATTTCACATTGGCTATAGGTATAAGAGAGGGTTGATATCTAACAAAACATTTCGAACCCCGCCACATTTTTGTGCCTGTCACGAGTCAGGAACCTGTAGCCTTTGTTGGTGTTGTGTGTTGTTTTAATTGTGGTTCTTTTGTATGTTTTGGAGTTAAATGTAGCGTCCATTATTCTGAACTAGTATTATTGTTGAGAGGCCAGCTGAAGCTTGCCTTCGAGTGCAAGATTTCTCTTTTCTTTTAAGACCAACTGGTCGCCTTGTGCTGTGTTTTGCACTTTGGTCCGGTTATTGTTACTTTCACACATTACTCGTTTCCATTTCTATTCTATTGGTGTGTTAACTCGACTGCTGATTTTCAAACTTCGAATAAGTGTTCGCCGATCTTATGTGTTTTCCATACAACAGTTCACTTACCTTGAAGGAATTTAATCAGTGATATTTCTGGTAAAAAGATAAATGCATAATTTTTTTCGATCTTTAATTATAGCTCAATGAGTCAAAATTGTATACAACATTTTGAGTTATATGTATGTCTAAAACACTGTATGGTATCAAAATAATACCTCATCGACGATGAAGCTTCGATATAAGTACGTACCTGTCACTATATGTGTAGAATCAAACACAATATTGGGCATTGATATTGAATTGATGTTGACAGCTAAATTCTATACCTGGCACGTTTCTGCTAGTTCAACTTTTTAAATTGTCGATAGCGACATAAGATGTTTAATATGTTTAACTGATACAGTAGTCCATAAAGACAAGCTAATTCTTCTATATCTGTAAAGCTATCGTTATCGTTTCCATATCGCCATTAAAAAATACTCTCCATTATGTTCGTTATTTATTTCATTCAGTTTAGTTAATGTTCTTCGTCACACTTATCTAATTTAATAGCACTTGAGTTTTGCATTTGTATGTTTAAAATCATTTTCATCTCAATATCTAAAACAATTTTATAATATTCTTTTTCTTCAAACGTACCTTATGCAAATATTCAGATAAGGAAATGTATACAATTTTAAATCAGAGAACAAACCACACGTACACAATAAGGATGTTAACAACTGTAGGTCATCATACAGTCTTCAACAAAGACTAGAACTAGTCATGACAATTGGAACCAGAAATTCAAGTTCCTTTATATGAAAAATACTTAAATTCATTGAAATAAAGATTTCTTACATCTGATGTTTGCAACTTTTAGAATATCAATGCTTACACAAAGAGAAACAATGATGTTCATAGCCGAAAATATTTTTATTCTTTAACAATTTATGACTACGCACAAGGCACATGAGGAACAAAGGTAAATACTTTAGTGTAAACTTTATGTTTTTGAAATCTTAATTTCAATCTATGACTTTAAAATAAGCAAGCATACGATTCAATTTCTGTCAGATTAACTTGTTTTTACCTTTAAATCCTAGCACATTATCCAGTACATCCGCGAAAACAACAGCGCAAACTACTGCTAGAAATAATACTTTCATATTTTTCAAACAATTGCAAGTGACTGCTGGAATATCTCTTCAAAAGGTAACTTGAATGTACCCAGTGGTTTAACAATTGTGTTGATTCTACTTATTTATACGATTTTAAGTAACACAAAGTTGACAAATAACAGCTGCGATTTAAATTGACATTTTGTCAACCAATAAGATGTGTTCATGGGTAAAACAGCATGTTATACTTAAACGAGCATTTAAGGTATGTAGTTTGCGTGTTTTTTTTTTTGTTTTTTTTTTGTAAGTGCATGCAATGTAACTAAATTTTATGTTTTTACATATTAAAAAAAATATTTTGGAACAGGATAATCATTTTTTGTTTTTCTTTTCTCTCTCACAAATAACACCTGTTTATATTAATAAGAGTCTATACAGAACAGCCAAACAGCAAATGTAAAACAGATAACAATGCAGTAACTAACTGCGAGTACTCACAAGTCTATTCGTTGTGTCTTTTGTGTTTTTTTTTTTGTTTTTTTGTTTTGTTTTGTGCTTTGTTTCGATCTGATGAGTTTAATCCTTTTTAACTGATTTTGACAGTTTGTGCTTATGTTGTACTGTTACACCACTTTCCAGGCTAGGGGCAGGTTTTAGCGCCAGCAAACATGTGTAACCCCGCAACATTATGTATGTGGTTGTCCAAAGTCAGGAGCCTGTAATTCAGTGGTTTTCGTTTTTTACTGTTTAATTTATCTGTTTTTCGTTTATTATTTTGTACACAAATTAAGCCGTTATTTTTCACGTTTGAGTTGTTTTTTTTTTTTTTTACATTTGTCCTTTCGGAGCCTTAAAAGGCTTAAAATATATATATGTACTAGTACATTTCTAGACAACGAATCTAATGGTCATTGTTCGGCCAGTATTTGTATGTCAAAGATACCCGTAAATGTCTACTTATGTATGGGGATGAACACATACGAAACCACGCTTGCTAAGGTTTGATTTTTTTCTTATATATGATAATGTATGTGATTACTTGTATAAATTAGTGTGCTCATTTAAAACAATAAATAACTCACTGTGCTGACACATGTAGATGCATAAGTGTATTCATTTTAAACAATAAATAACTTACTGTGCTGACGCATTTTGAAATAGGACTGACACTATTGAAGGTTATTTTCTGTATCAAAATATCTGTCATTACGTATCATTTCATCTTGTTCATACATTTTGTTATTCTTTATCTATATATGTTGTTGTACACACCTTAATTCTACTATATATCTAAAAAGTTAAAAGAAATAAAAAAGAAGCTATTTCGAACAAGATTTGTTCAAGAGATTATACTGTATTTGATTTCAATTTGAATGTTTAAATCAAATCCGAAATAAGGGATTTAACTAAAATATTTTTCATCAAAATGAAAATATGAACTAAGTTTAATGTAAATGTGACTTCATCTTTATGGTAAACTACTTTGACAAAAAACTGTAAAATTATACGAAACGTTCAGACGCACTGACCAGAAACCATAAAGTCCTTTTAGTATCGTAAGCGGGGCTTTAACGTTAAACAATAATACAAATATAACATACATTTTAAGTACGAAAAACATTTTATAATATGCTAATAAGAAGATGTGGTATGATTGCCAATAAGAAAACACTTTACCGAGACTAACATGACTAAATGGCGCAAAAATTTACAATATGTTATTACACGGTCTTCAACGGTGAGTAAACTCCATACCGCTTAGTAAGCTATAGAAATGACAAATATTAAACGTATCATGTACACAATTGATAGCTCTGTATTTAGGATGAGTTTATCATACTTAAAAAAAACTGAATCCAACATTATCATATTATTAACGTTTGGGGAAAAGGACGTTTTTTTCAACAAACAATTACAATTCCCATGAGAACTAACTTCCTCTTTTTGTCGGTTTTTCCGTAATTCAAATAAGATAGATTTTATGCAGTAACTCTATGAAGCACGCAATATATATATTTAACTTCAAGTTCCGCTATATAGAGGATGTCCCCTCACTAGATAGTGCAAAGTTTCGTAACTATGTTGAACGTATCTTTCCCATCGAAATTGAACTTAAAATACAGGATACCATAGATACAGATTAGTCTGCTTTGTTTTTTGATTTACATTTATTTATGATTGATGCAAACCTTCTGTAAGCATATATAATCAAAAGTAAAGACTCCGTTGTATCAATTCAATTATTTCAGCACCTCCAACTACACATTTGAAGCCCAACTACTTTTCAATTTTATCATTATAACTGAAAGGAGTGTTCGAAGATACAAACCAAACGAAAGGAATATCAGATATCAGGAAATGCGAAAACTACTGACCAGCTTACTGATTTATTACCGACATTTGTTAAGGACTCGTTTTTCCTTCAAAACAATCTTGCTGAAAATCAATACAACTAACAATGGCATCAGGTTTGTGTACCTACTTTTCATAACTTGTACGCCATAACATGTGTGATATACCAAAACGACCTTTTAGAATCTAAACATTTTTGTAGAGAACAAAATTAATGTTTGAATAACAGATAAAACCTGTCGTGTCGGACAAGTTTGTTTTAGTACATTATTGAATTGAATAAAAAAAAAAGGTTTGTGTACCTACTTGTCATATCTTGTACGCCATAACACGTGTAATACACCAAAACGACTTCTTAAAATCTATACATTTTTGTATAGTACAAAATTGATGTTTCTATAGCAAATTAAACCTGTCGTGTGGAACATGTTCGTACATTATTGAATAAAATTAAAAAAAAACGTTTAAAGTTTGCCAAGTTCGTATATGTTTTCATGTAAATGTAACAGCCCTTGATGCTCATTTGACAAGAACGTTTCAAAATATAATTGTCAATAGTAGACATATAGAGAATGGCGAAGATAAGGTCAGATTGCTTGCTTGTTTTAATGGGTAATGCACTATTCAGTACATATGTGCCAGTCTGCCTAATGATCAGGCAGTTTCTAAAAACATGAATATCTCAGAATTTGATAAAAACTGGCTTAAATAATCTAAATACAAATGTAACATGTTATAATGAAAAAAAAAAACTTTTCAGACCATTGAGATCTGGTTGCAATGACAACAAGGCCATTTGATTTTGTCAAAGCAACAAGTAATTAGGGTCAACATTAAACTCACATTTTGTTTCCCTAATTCACTTTCATGAAATCTGCTCATATAAAATCCAGTATTTCTCCATTGTACTGCATTTGTTTCAGCTATGAAAGAACCGCTTTTTTGATAAAATACTATTTCATTCTAGAAATATTGGTGTACGATGGTCTCCAGCTTTTATTCCTGCAATAATGTGAAATTTCAGTAAAAATCTAAAAAAATTTACAATTTATTCACAGTTTATGTTAATAATTTTAGTTCAGTAAAACATTTTTGTTGATTGAAATGTTTAAGATGGAAGCTTAAAAAAAAACATACACCAAGGAAACGACCATTTAATTTGGTACGTGTTGGTGGACGCTGGTACCAGTATATAACTTTATGTTTAAGTCCAAGATGGACGGTTGTTTTGTGTTTTGCTTACCAGTGAATTCGCCAGCTCTCGTCGGTGTTTGTTTTTTAAAATGATAAAAGTATTTCGTTTTCATTTTGTCTCTAAAATATGTTAAAAGTAAAAAAGTAAAATGACACATATATATGTTTTGCCTGTATGCAAATCTGATGGAAAATGTTGAAATTAAAAGCAATACATATTCAGTATTCAAAGTAGATGAACCATTACTGAAGATAAAGGGCCTAATAATGTTTGTTGAAATAAGAAATGCCAATGCTAAACACAACTGCAAACCATACATCATAAGTGGTTCCAATTTAGCTGATCTAATCACAAACTTTAAAATGTAATCTATGCTAAATTTCAAAGTGAATAGACCATGACTAAGAGGACAGTAATTTTTATATATATTTTATTTGTACTTATAGTTCTGATGCTCAGAAATCACTGATTAAGACAAGAAAGGGACAGAAGAATGAAGACCAGTGATCTATTCAAATTGTTACTATGATACTATCCCCAACAACAGGTAATAATGTAATCATGCCAATAAGTCATTTAAACATATACCAGGGATGTTGCAATTTTTTTATTTGCCTGTCAAAGGGTCCTACAAGATGTTTAATTTTGCTGATCCAGTTATTTTTCTTTTTTCATTTGTTATAGTTTGAGTTCTTGTCTCTCGTTTTTGCTTATGTACTTTGTCTAAATGTCATTTTGTGTTTCTTTGTTAAACAGTTCGTCAGTGCTATAATTGATGAGTTTGCCAATTTTTTTATCTTATAAATGTATAAAACAACCCATTGGTCAGTGCCATAAACGATGGTATGCAAATACCAACAGAATGACCAGGCATGTATCCAGTACGTTTGTAAAAGCATCGTCTTACTTTTTCTGGAGTGGACTCAAAGAATGTATCAGCTGTTGTTTCAATTTACAAGACGGTTAAATTTATATCGATACTTGTTGATATGCAAATGTCTTGTAAATTTATTAATAACAATTGTCCATGTTTTATCCGACCTTCTTTCGTCATGGAGAAATCCAATCAACATGATTTTCACCTGATCTGGAAAGATACATCTCTGGCATGTATGTAGAGATGTACCTGTAACAAACTAGTTAAACCTAACCCAATTGTGTATGTGCCTGTTCCAAGTCAGGAACATGTAGTACAATGGTTGTCGTTTGTTCATATATGCTTTTCGTAAATTGTTTGTTATAAATAAGGCCATTAATTTTCTCATTTGAATTGTTTCACATTTTTCATTTCGGGACCTTTTATAACCGACTATATTGTATACGTTTTGTCATTTTTAAAGGCCTAACGGTGGACTATAATTGCTTACTACCATTTTTTCTCTGGTGGATAATTGTCTCATTGGCCATCATACAACATCTCCTCAGTTTTATAGTATTTATAGAGGTATTGGTGTTGCTCAAAGTTAAAGGCCGTACAGTGACTATAAATTGCTAACCTTTTACGTTATTTTGTGTCTGGGGGAGCGTTGCCTAATTGGCAATCATACAACATCTTCTTATTTGTATAGTACATACCATTGTGGGGCAATTTTCCTACAAAGCAACTATAGTCTCAACTTTTTGTTTTAATTAATTTTACTGATATCCTGCAGTAAATGTGTTATAAAGCAGCATAGTTGTCAAAGTTCCTTGTGATTGTTTTATTAACAAACTTAGGCTACGAAACATATTTGGTAAATTATATTACTAATAATTTTGATCAAGTACCTCATTTTTGTACCTTTGTTTCGTACAATTCTATAAAGAAATGAGTTTTTCTTTAATGACTATTATAGTGCGAAAATATGCGTAAAGGTCGACTATGTTTTATTAAAGAAAGTTCATGTTTCAATTTTTTCAACTTTATTCTTTTGGTATCACTGGTGGATAGTCCGTTATTTGTTTCCACCGTCTATCATATCTATTTAAAAAAAAACTGATTAATGATATGCTTTACTTGTAGGAGGAAGAGTCGTTACTATATAAAAATTCTCACATAGAAACTACAAAATCATCGAATGATTATCTGCATACACACGGACTGATATGTCTCCATGGAATTATTTGCTTTGATAGTAAAACAGAAAACTGAATATAGAAGTCTCACTGCTCTGTGGATTATGTGGAAACCAGCATATTCATATCGCCGTGCAAACATCATATTCAAAATACTGAGTCGTTTTCCATAATAATGGTGATTTCCGTAAATTGTATCATACTATATGTATAAAGAAATTTTCATTTCATGTTCAATTATGTATTTTCTATCTTGTCTATCGCAATAAGATAATAAAAATATCAATGAAGTGAAGGTAAAAACAGGAATCACTAAAAAGGCTGGAGAGTTCTCCAAAATACAATAACCACAAAGACCCGTCTACTACAATGAAAAAGAAGTATAAGAAAGAGACAGATGAACACAACGAATAACACGCAATCCATATGGTCTGACTTGGTACACGTGGTCTATATGGTCTGACTTGGTACACATGGTCTATATGGTCTGCCTTGGTACACATGGTCGATATGGTCTCACTTGGTACACGTACAAGAATTGGGGAGGGGAAGGGTGTGTCTTACTTGGTACACGTACAAAAATTGGGGGAGGGGAGGAGTGCGTTTAAACAGTTCTATGCTCCTGTTACACTATCAACCCGTTTACCTTTTTATACCATATGTCGTAAAATAAAAAACACAATAAAAGGTAAAGTGCACCTTCAAACAGAATGACCACATGCTTAAACAAGGAAATAAAAAAAAATGCACATCATTTAAAAGTGGGGCCAAAATTTGGTCAGTCCTACAGGAAGCTAGCTTACGTACCTTAAACCGTTGGACTGATACTGCTCCTCGAGGAACCAAACACATCAGAAACAAATTTTCTCGCAGGTGTCATGAAATATTATAATAAAACGTTAGGAAGTATTATATATTACACGCTAAATTATTAGCGGATCATCTAATGTCACCGACTATATAACAACTAAGATTATACACTTCCTTGTTTGTTTACTTTCTGCTTTGATATGTCAATCTTCTTTCGTATTATATCTTTAATATAAAAATATGAAGATGTGGTATGATTGCCAGTAAGGAAACTCTCCATCAGAGATCAAATGACGTAGAAGTGAATATCTATAGGTCATCGCACGGCTTTCAGCAATAAGCAAAACCCGAACCATATAGTGAGCTATAAAAATCCCAAAATGACAAATGAAAAACAATTCAAACGAGAAAACACACTGCCTGATTGATGCATAAACCATTGATCGAAATATAAATATGATAAACAGCAACAAACAGCAACCACCGAATTATATGCATCATAATAAAGTGGATTTGTTGAAATGGTTAATACATGGTATTCATAGTTATTCTTGAAATATATATGTATTCCCGAGTCTAGGCTCATTTAATTTTGAAAAACAAAAACGGGAATATAGAAATTGATACACACAAGAATATGCGTCCATAAAAGACAATGCCCCGATCGCACTATCAAATTTTCATGTTCAATAAACAGGTTAATCTGGTTCAAAACCCTAATTCTTTATGTTTGAAAAGGGTTCTTTCATCACGCTCATAATGAACATGTGCAATAGGTTTTAAGTTTACATTTTGGTAGGCGGCCATCTTGGTTTTGGTGAGTTGTTTTGGTTTGGTTTGTTGACTTTTTTTATGTTTTTTCTTGCAGTCTATACTCCACAACGGCTGCTTTCAGGGCCAGATTGGTCAGCTTGGTAGCCCACTAATTACGATGATGGAGTACTGGTCGATGAGTCTCGGACGTAGTTATAACGATGACAGGAAGCATTATCAGGACCAAATTCGTGAGACACTGAAATTGAGGTCCATTATTCAACACCTAGGATACAGCCCTCGGACATCAGTCGGCATAACACTCCCCCAACCATAATGGGTTTTGGAGTGTATGCTGAAGCGGGTATTTACGTAGAAAACAAACATTTACTGTACAGCGTTGAATTGGTTTCTGTCATCGAAAGAAGTAAGTCGTTGATCCATCTATCAGTAAACCCTCACCGCAGATAGCTGATAAAGGAGAGCTGACCCAGCACGTCCATTCAGCTGTAATGACTGAGACGTGACTGTGTCAAACAACCACCGTCATCCCCAATACATGACACCACCA